TCAGCTGGTGGACTTAGATTTTGTGGGACCCCCATTCACTTGGACAAATGGCCAACATGGGACTCATAAAATATTAAAAAGAATTGACAGGGCTCTAGTTACACCCTCCTGGTTACAGATCTAATCCACAAACAATTCTCTACCACTTACCCATAGTCTCCTTAGACCATGGTTCTATTAAACTATCCACTCTTCCTATAAATGCTCAAAAGAAATCATAATTTCATTATCAACCTTTTTGGACAGACCACCCAGACTGCAAACACATAATTGTTGAAGCTTGGAAATCTTGTAAACAAGCATTAAAGGCATGGAATAAATCTTCTTTTGGGTATATACAACACCACCTCCAAACCCTTGCTCAATAAATTGCCAATCTGCAACTCAAACTTTTATCATCCAGGGAAGAACAACAACTAACAGATTTGAAAAGACAGTACCAATATTGGCTACAAAAGAAAGAACAACTCTAGAAGTTAAAATCTAGAGAACTTTGGCTTCAAGAAGGAGATAGGAAGACAGTTTTTCCACCACATGGAAAACCACAAAAACATCAAGAATGATATAGCTTGGATCAAAAAGCCAGATGGAGAGTGGACATCAAACACACAACAAATAGCTAAGGTTCTCAAGCATTCTATGGAGGTAATTAGTGGAGTACAAGAAGATTTCAATCCAAGCTCACTCTCCAATATTCCCCTTCCTTGTATCTCACATGAGCAATCACAAATTCTCATGCACCATCCCACAATGGAAGAGATAACTACAGTAGTTCAGCAAATGAACCCACATAAAGCCTCAGGCCCAAATGGGTTCACTACTCATTTCTATAAAAAAAAAAAAAAATAGGATATTGTGGGTAAGGACATTTATGAACTCGTCACAAATTTTTATTACACTAGGAAGTTGCCAAAATGTATCAATATTACCAACTTAGTATTTGTTCCAAAAGATAACTCACTAGTGGATGTATCCAGCTATCAATCCATCAGTCTGTGTAATGTCAGCTACAAGATCATCTCCAAGTGGTTAGTCATGAGAATGCAGCTGATTTTATAGGACATGATCTCCCCTCACCAATCAAGTTTTCTAAAGAATCGAAAAATCACAAACAACATCTTGCTAACAAAAGAGATCCTATATCAGATGAAATCACGAAAAAAAAAGGGAAGGGTGCAATAGCTTTAAAACTAGACATGTCGAAAGCTTTTAACCGAATGGGAAGGAATTTCATCATAGGGGTACTAAGAGCCATGAACTTTCCAGAGAAGTGTAATCTTTTATACCAATGTGTATCTACTTCAAGGTTCTTAGTCAAGTTGGGAGGGGAAATATATGAATCTTTTCAGCTCAATAAGGGGTTACAGCAAGGAGATCCACTCTCTCCGTACCTCTTCGTAATAGGTATGGAGGTCCTTTCCCAATTACTGCTAAAAGCCTCAACGCATAACCAACTCCAGGGAATTTCTCTAAGGATAGAATCCCCATCACACATCTTTTATTTGCAGATAACTGCATCTTGTTCTATCGAGCTGATCTAAAACAAATAAAAGAGCTCAACAAAACCCTCCAACACTTTGAATCCCTCTTAGGATAGAAATCCAATCCAGGAAAATCCTCAGTAGCATTCAATGTTAGTGTGCTGAGACACCATAGAAAAATCATCAATCATGTGCTCAAAGTGAAGCAACGATTAGTTGGGACCAAATATCTGGGAGTGAGGTTGTATTCACATGATAGAGAGGCTACCACACAAAAGGACCTTCAACAAAAAATCTTATCAAAGCTAAAAGCTTGGAGCTCAAACCTACTATCCCAAGCCGGTAGAACCACCCTTCTAAAGTCAGTACTCCAGTCCGTTCCACTATATCAAATGTCATCATCAACTATACTCCCTCAAAAATTCCATAATTCTTTGGACAAATGTGCCCATGATTTCTGGTAGAACCTAGGCCACAATCAAACAAGACACACCATTTCATGGAACAAATTATGTCTCCCCAAAGTTTGTGGTGGATTCAGTTTCAAACAAAGTGCTTTTATGAACAAAGCATTATTTAGTAGGCAGATCTGATGACTGGTTGCATTCCTAAACAGTTTGTGGATCTTTCAAATAAAACAGAAATGTTATCCCAAAACAGGCCTATTTTCAACAAGAAAAAAAAAAAAAAAAAAAAAAAGAATAGCTCCCCATGGTGGCGACAAACCCAGAAGCTACTACCAATCCTCAAACCGAATATCATGTGGATGATTAAAGATGGGGTTAATATATCAGTTTTTTAGGACTCTTGGATGGAAGGGTACCAAAATCAGCACAAAATGAATATCATGGATCACAAGTTAAGGTGTGTGACTTATTAAGGCCAGGAGGAGAATGGATCCTATCATCTATACAACAACATGTAAATCAGCAATCCATACCTCATATATTAGCCATCACTCCAAACAGAGAACTAGAAAAAGATACAACTATCTGGAAGTTGACAAAATCAAGAAAATACACAATCAGTTCAGTGTATCATTTCCTCTCCACAGAAGTGAACTCATCATCTTCAACTTTTTTTTACTATAAACCATTGTGGAAGCTTAAAATCCCTTACCGTTTCCGATTGTTTATTTGGAAAATTTTATGGGAAAGGCTGCCAACTAAGGACAAAAGTCATCACTGGCTATCCCCATCAGATTTAACTTGTACCTTGTGCTCAAGTGAAACAAAATATTTACATCACCTATTTTTCCACTATCACTTCACTAGAACAATTTGGTGCTCAACCTAGGTAGGACTAAATCCAAACAAAATAACCGACCAGCCAGCCCATATAATTCTTTTGGATGGTATCAAAAGCTCAAGTTATCGTATTCAATAAACAGAAGTATTTGAACTCTTTGGAAGAGGGTGTGTTTTATTCTATCTCATCTGGAATGCTAGAAACAAAAAATATTTTGAAAATCTCACATACACCCCTCATGAATTACTAGAAGAGTGGAGAACTTATCAAAAGTTAGATCGGCAACAGTACTTGAGAAGTACTACTGATGTTCAATGTCCAGACAATCCCCCCAGAGGAGTGGCTACACTACAAATTGATGGTTCATATGATCCTTTAACAGGAAGTGCAAGACAAGCTTTCATCTTCCAACAATCGCCAAGAGATAAAGCCATCTTTGAAGGAAAACCATGTTGGGCCATCAGTTCTTATGATGCTGAATTAAGGGCTTTAATCGCTAGTTTAGAGGCAACTTCAAATCAAGTAGTAGATATGGTAGCAGTTTACAGTGACTCTAAGCAACTTATATCCTTTTTGCAGAATATGTCCAAACCTAGCTTCTGTATTGAAAGTCTCCATCAGCTGCGGATTGCAAAACTTTTGAATGCTTTCACTAAGCCTTTTTTGATGTATGTAAATAGATCTAACAACCAAGCTGCTCACACTTTAGTGTATATAGCTTATAAAGCAGCTTATATCCTTTTTGCAGAATATGTCCAAACCTATCTTCTGGATTGAAAGTCTCCATCAGCTGCGGATTGCAAAACTTTTGAATGCTTTCACTAAGCTTTATATATATATATATATATGTAAATAGGTCTAACAACCAAGCTGCTCACTCTTTAGCATATGTAGCTTGTAAAGCAGCTTATATCCTTTTTGCAGAATATGTCCATGCTTTCACTAAGCTTTTTTTTATGTATTTAAATAAATCTAACAAACAAGCTGCTCACACTTTAGCGTATGTAGCTTGTAAAGCGGCACTATCAATGGCATCTAATCCAGACAGTAACTTGTATGTAAATATTAGCCCTATAAATGAATGAGAATCTGCCTCTTTTAAAAAAATCAATGCAAATATCTAATCCATCAAAATGGTTTCTAAGTCAGTGAATTAATTTCAGCCATCATGTATGCATCAATATTTCAATCAATTTATACCATCCAAATAAAAAGCTAAGAAGGAAAGAATCTATGCAATCAAAATGGAGAGCAATATTTAATTATGACCATCCAAGTATGCACAACTATTTCAATTGATCTCAGCCATTGAATTAATGCATGAAGTTTTCTGAAAATATCCCGGTTATGTAAGTGATAAAATAGACAAAATTTAGATAGTAAAAATCCATTAAAATGATGTATCAAGCTAACTCTAGAATGTATTAAATTGCACCAAAAAATTCTGGTACATGAGATTAATCCACCGTTCAAGGGTACCGCTTATCCTAAGATTTTTTTTGGTTGATTTGGTACATTATATGGATGGACTTGATGTATTGAAATTTTGGTATATTAATTGGATAATTGAAATTGGTAGGATAGATTACATGAAATTTAGGTACACCAACACCATTTGAATGGTTGGTATTCATTAATTAGTTTTAGGATTTACTCGATACTTTACTTCACATAGCCTAGATTTTCTTATTCTAGAGATTTTCATGCGTTACTTAGTATGGCTGAGAGCCTGAGATTAACTGAAATCTCTGTGCATCACTTACAATGATTGAGATTGATCCATTGGTCTTCAAATGATATTATATTTTCTTCTCTTGCAAGGGAAGGTGGCCCTTCCTTTCACGGTTTTAAAAACCGGATTAGACATGGAACTGTTTTGGGGACTGGTTCTCAGGTTGAATGGTCAGACTGTCCAGTTTGAATGGATAGCCCATTCGAATATAAATATATAAATATATATATAATTAAAATAAAACAGCTAAAATTTATTGTCCAGGTAAATGAGTCAACGGTTCGACCACCTAGATCAACAGATCATGACCTTATCAACGGTTTTTGGCCCAAGAGCGGTTTTAGGTTGAACCAAAACCAGTTTACTGACCAGTTCCCAGGTCAACCGGTTCGGTCCAGTTTTCAAAACCATGCTTCCTGATATACACGATAGAGGATTTCCTCCCCACAAAAACCCTGCTGGCACTCTCAAAGTACTGATATGCAACCACAGATCGAGAATCTCCCTATGAATTTAGCACAGACGAGACGTATGGGAGATATTCCCAATATTGCATGCAGAGTTTATTGGTAGATTGCGATTACTAATACACGTATTTCGCTTCAGTAATTACTGCCGTAAGAACTGCTTTTGGATAATATAGTATTGTACTGCTATAAATCTTTTTAGTGGAACCAAGAAACGTCAAGACCTCTTGAATGCAATGCATAGCCCCACACCCCTCCCACTAGTAGCCCTCTCCCCCCTATAAACCACATCCTGCCCGTGAATTTGGCATCAATTCACGGTCAGGATGCATTCCCCCTGTACTATGGGGCTATAAAATTCTGATCTGGGCTGATTGATCATTCTCCCTAAAAGATATTTTACGACAATTGAAAGACAACAACTTCTAATTGCACCACCACCACCACCACCATCGAACCTAAAATAGCAAACTGCAAGTCATCGGTACTTGAGTCCTCACAAAATGAGAACCCTAGTACAATTATCACCATTTCGTCATCATCAAGCTACTCAATTCGGTTAGATAGAGCCTCCTCCCATCGGCCACATAAATATCATTTACTTGCCAAAGGTAGAACTTGACCTGCCAGTATACTCACCAACTAGCTTTGCAAACAAAGAGGACTTGTTCTCCAACAATTTGGTTGGGGAATCATATTCCATGACAAGGCCTGTTCAAGATTACCCATTTTGAGAATCAATCACATTTCAAAACAAAGGGAAGAAATGATTGGGTATAATAATGACATTCTATTGAACTAACCGTGATCGAGAAGTAGGACCCTGTCACTGTCAAGAACAGATGTTATCCGATGTGCAATTGTTACGACTGTACAGTCTGAAAAGTGCTGCCTAAGTGTGTGCTGAATCAAGTTATCAGTTGCAGTATCCACTGATGCAGTAGCTTCATCAAGCACCAAAACTTTACTCTTCTTAAGTAGTACTCGTCCTAGGCAGACCAGCTGCCTTTGGCCCATACTCCAATTCTCTCCATTCTCAGTCACTGCAACATTCATACAAACATTAGAAGCATAGTTAAGTCTACAGGTAAACGCTGAGTATTTTATTAAGTAAATAGGTATCCAAAATGATTAACAGAGGTTTTGCTCAGTTATGTGGTAAAATGAAGTTATCAGGCAACTTAGACATTGCAGTGAGAGATTAGATTAATGTTTGAATAACAAACCTGCAGAATTAAGCTTCCCTTCCTTCTTCCTTACTTCTTCTCCTAGTTGGCACCTATCTAGAGCCTGAAACAATAGACCTGTGTATCAGCATCCACCCATGCACCATTGTTTAAATCTAATCCAAGATGATTAAAGAGGAACAATCAGGATAGAAGATTCGTAGTTAAGAAAGAGAACCAGGGCACACATATGCAATTATTGAAATATGCAAGGCTCTGAGCTAGGGATCTACTATGAACTTGACTTTGTCAATGACTAACCATCCAAATGCAAAAGATAGCAAATGGTCCAGAGAAATCTACACTAGCCAAACAGTAAGGATTGTGTGACCAGGATAATCTTATCAGAGATCTCATAATTAGATACTTGTGGAAATCTAATAGCATGTCTTCCATACAAATGTGCTATGAAGGATAGTTTTTCCAGAAGATCTAGATTGAATATTATCATCAAAATGAAACAAACCCACCTCCCAAATCTGATCGTCTGTGTACTCTTCAAGTGGGTCCAGATTGCTTTGCACTGTCCCCTCAAACATGGTCGGATCTTGTGGAATGATGCTTAATCTTGAACGCAAGTCATGCAGTCCAATTGTAGATATGTTGATATGATCTATAAAAATCTGTCCAGATGTAGGTTCCACAATGCGAAAGAGTGCCTGGATGAGAGTTGACTTGCCACTGCCTGTTCTCCCAACAATGCCAGTCTTCATTCCTCCAGGAAATGTACACGTGATACCTTGCAAGACAAGTGGTAGGTGTGGAGCATAACGCACCTACATCCACAATCACCACCATTTAACCATGTATGTTAATGAGGAGTAAAGAAGCCATTCATGGACCCAGACATAGTGTGATCAAGTATTAGACAAAAAGTTATATTTGGAGTAGGACATATAACTCAATGGAAAGTTGGCTGGTATGTGACTTCAAAAATCCTGAGTACCTCCACATTCATGCTTACACGGCTATACCAAAATATCATGGTACCAAACACTTCAACTGATAACTCTTGTAACACAGTATATCTTATCATAAGAAATTGCAGCAATTAAGGCTTCATTAAATATGGATGCAAAGACTGTTGCAAGAAAACAATCTTAGGAATAAAGTAAGAATCGTGATATTAGCATGTTAAAAAGCCAATTCATACCTTACCTGCTGTTGGACTTTCAAATATCAATAGTTGTGTATAAGTTATCGATATCAGTATTTGTACCCTATCTATACATAGAAATATAAACAAACATTAAATAATTCCAATTAAGTCATTGGATTTATTTGGTATCATAGGTTAAAATTTGATCAGTTTTCATGATTCTGTCCATCTGACTGATAAATTTCCCCATTTTTATTAAATAAGACATCTTCCTGTTAGCTCCATGATCATAAGAATTTGACAAAAGTTTTAAATGCCAGCTGTGAACCTGACAGAACCCTCCTTTATTCGGGCTTGGGATCGGCAGTGTAAGACAAGCTCACACTGGAAGAGTTCATGATGATGATCTTCCTGTTAGCTATAGCAGTAATGTGAAAGTTGAGTAAAATAAAACTTTACATTACCTGCAGGTCGCAAATGCCAACTTCTCCATATGATGGCCAATCCCTATCTGGCCGATTTGTTTCTATAACAAGAGGAGGTTCACTGGGGATAGACATGTACTGAAGTATTCTCTCAACAGATATAATTTTGTTCTCAAGATTACAGAGATTCCATATGACCCAGGCTTGTATCATGTTCAAATTCAGTCCATATGTCACTGTCAAACCAGCAATGCCTAAAAGAAGAAATAGAAGTAATGAGATTCATTGTTTGTGTAGTTGGTCATTTATAGCCATTCAGATGTGACACATGGGATCACAAATGGAACCAATATTACCTGGATCAATCACTCCTTCTGGCACAGAAATTAAGAAAATCAAAGAGAAGGCAAATGTGATGGATGACAACATATCCAGGCGGAAACATAGCCACTCCATTGCTGCAGCAACATGGAATTTGGGCCGGGAATATGCATCAATCAGCTTAAGATTTGTGTCCATGAATCTCAATTCCTGATCAAAACCCCTGATTGTTGTTGATCCTGAGATTGATTCAGAAAAATATTGTATAACTGGAGCTTTGCATACACCAACCAGCCTTGCTAATTCACGTGCTGTAGATATGTAGTAATGCTGCAACATAATGACTCTAAGTGAGGCATACAATGCAAAATAAATAAAAAAATAAAAAAAGGACGATCTTTATCAAGGGTTTATTCCAGCACTGGATCAAGGTTGTTCCATCTGGAGTGCAATAAAGTGACAGTAGACTGCAGGAAACAGGTGTGTTACATGATGTAGAAGGCCTTAATCACCCTACCAACACCTCATTGGCAGAAGGAAAAAAGGCTTGATGAGGAAACTTTCATAACTACACATTTCTAAAATGAAAAGCAAGTTAATTGTGACAGATTTGATAGGAGTAGGACAGCCTGATTTGCTAGGAATACTATAAAAATGGAAAGCTAGAAGTGTAGTTATAGGATTCATATGGGTGGTTATGCTTGATATGAAATGTTGAACATTGGAAAAATAAAGAACTGCTCCATCAGCAATGTCAATTGTCAGCACTCAGCAGCAAAATTTGAAACATCAGTATAAGAAGATAGCTCCTAGTCCTACAGCAATAGGGATTGGGCATAACATGTAAGCATAATTATAGATTGAAATTTTCACTGGACTGGCAAGTTTGACCGGAAGAGAATGTCACTATGTCAGTCATCTTGTGTGTTTTCAAATATTTTGTTAAGGAATCCTGACTCATCTCTAATTGCAGACCTAAGTACAAGAATAATATGATTTGTTACTTCAAGTCTTGGAAAGAAGAGAAGCCATAAGCATTACCTGATACCAAATGCAGGTCGCAATTACAGGAATAAATATGATGAAAACCTGCCATGCTACCTGAGACATTACTGCAATAATTCCCACCAATTGTATAATTGAGAAGGCAAATGACCCAATTTGATATGGAATATTCAAATCAACAGCACTTTGATCTGTAGAAGCCTGTGAAAGAGAAGGTACACCACTTCAGAAAAATACAAAACCATATTATCATTCAAATAACCTATCAGGAGCTTAGTTGGATCCAGAAAATGTGTATATGAGAATTTCCTCTTACCCTATTAAGGATGCGTCCACTCGGAGTAGAATCAAAGAATGACATGGGAGCACGAAAAATGCATAAATGCATCTTATTGAAAAGTAGTGTGGCTGTCTTATATCCAGCTGTTACAATAAGCATGGCTCTAACAAGAACACAAACAGAACTCCCAAAGGCCAAAGCAACAAAGACAAAAAGAAGAGTTGAACCCCCAACTGGGGGTTGCACATCCTTTGACACAGGAGCTGCCCAGGCCATCCAGTAATTGCTAGCAATTTGAAGGAGCTGAAAAAGTATCTGTGCTAGCAAAATCAAAGGCACAAGAGCTCCTTTATACGCTGTGGTGATATATTTCCAGTAGACCGAAAAACCAACTCTGCCCTTCTCTCTCTCTTCTTCCTGAACAAGCTGTCCTTTTCCCCCAGTCATTTCATCCTTCTTAACATTTTGCTCTTCTTCTTTGTCAGTATACTTCTTCCCACTTTGCATATCACTATATTCCTCATTATTACCTGACGTCTCGGAAGCTGGCTCTGTCTGCATAGAATCAAGGGATGACAAAGCTGTCTTGTGTGCACCCACCAGTTCCATGAAGTCTGTTCCCAAAGTGAGAATTTCATCATATTTTCCTGCTTGTGTAATTCTTCCATCTCTCATAACCTGAAAAATAAGAGAGGGTAAAACAACCCTTCAAATTGAAAAATTGAAATCAAAGTTAAGGAAGAAACAAGATGAAAAATCCTCACCAGGACAAGATCAGCAGAAGGTAAGAACTCTACTTGATGGGTAACATAAATCACTGTCTTTGAACTCAAAAGCCCGAGTATACATTCCTATCATACAGAGGATGGATTAATATCTAAATTTTTGGTCATGAGATGCCCACTTACTCAAAAGAAGCAAATCTATGTAGTAGTAGTAGTAGTTTGTAGACAATCAGTCAAAGGACGGAATGACATAAAATTCATGTAAGGGGAAGAAGAATTCAACATGATATGCATATAACTATATTCTGCTTATGAATATTGTTATATATGGTCCAGAATATAGCAGCTCAAAGTGAAATGTAAGTGATACAAATACAGCCATGAAATTAGGAACCACAGAAAATTTACCTTGAAGAGATGTGTTCCTGTATGAGCATCCACGGCACTAAAAGGATCGTCAAATAGATAAACGTCAGCATCCTGGTACAAAGCACGTGCAATCTGTATCCTTTGCTTCTGTCCACCACTCAAGTTGATTCCCCTCTCCCCTATAACTGTCTGATCCCCGAATGACAGAATTTCCAGGTCCTTCTTCAACGAACAAACTTCAAGGACTCTCTCATACTTCTCTCTGTCCATTTCCTTTCCAAACAATATATTCTCTTCTATCTTACCACTCTGTATCCAAGGCGACTGAGCAACATAAGCCTTTGTCCCACACAACTTGACAGTCCCAGATACCTTTGGCACTTCCCCCAAAATGCAGGAGAGCAAACTTGACTTTCCTGAACCAACGGTACCACAAACAGCTACCCTCATGCCATGGTAGACTTTGAAATTTAGATCTTTAATTGTAGGGGTGGGGGAAGAGAGATCCCAGGAGAAACTCGCATTGCTCATCTGGATGGCAACCTCAGAACTATTTCTTGGAACCTTCTCTATTAAATCAGGCTGCAAATCATCAAGACAGATGAACGAAGCAATTCTGTCTAGAGAAACTTTAGTTTGAACGACCATGGAAATTGTGTCTGGGAGATTATAAATGGGCTCTTGCAATATCCTGAATGTTGCAAGTGCAGATAGAATCTTCCCTGACTCCAGTGGGATCCCCATGAGCATACAGGACCCAAATGTGACCACAGCCACGAATGTTGGGGCACCCCAGAAGACAAAGGATGTCATGGCTGATGTATAAACAAACTTCTTCAACCATCCTGTCTCATTCTTCCTAAGCTCAACTACCTTAGACAAGAATTTCATCTCCCATCCCTGAAGCTTTAGAATTCTCATGTTCCTCAGAATCTCGGATGTTGTCTTCATCCTCTTATCTTTTGACTCCATTAATTTACCCTGAAATTTCTTTTGCAGTGTTCCCAAGGGAATATTGGCCAACATCACAAGTACAGTGGCCACAAGGGCTGCAATTGAAGCAAGGCCAAGACTCTTGTACAAGATAATTAAGGCTAGAGATACTTGAACAGGGACCATCCATAAGTCGTGCATGTACCAGCTAAAGTCCCCTACCCGCTCAGCATCAACAGCCATGAAATTGATTATCTCCCCACTAGTGTGACTCTGTCTAGAGTGACTTGAGAGCGTAAGACCCTTCTTGTAAATCATTGCAACCAGTGCAGCTTGAGCCCTAATCCCAACCTGTTGCACCCTAAAGAACCAATGTCTCTGTGAGGGGCACTCTATGAGCTTTGCAACAAGGAAGGCAGAGACCAAAGCATACCCTTCATTTCTGAATTCTCGACGGCCATTTAGGTATTGCACGAAGGTGTCAATAAGGTATGGACCGACATAAGAAGAAAACGTGTATAAAAGTGCAAACAAACCCGTCCAAAGGATTTCCTTCCACGCTGAGAACAACAATGCTTTGACCAGCTTGAGTGTGGTTACCTCACCAGGACAACTATTATCAGATTCAAGTTTGTTTCTGAAAATCGGGTAGACCACATTAACACTATCGTTCCCTGCAAGCTGCGGAACATCCTCAAGATCTAAGGTTTTCTTGTTACCAACAGCAAGCAAAGGGCCCATCCAAGAGAAAGTAAGGATACTAATAAGGTTAGCATTGGAGTAAGGGGTAATGTTTTCAGTTCCAATACCATTGTTTGACCTATCAATACTATTGCTTCTGTTAGCACTGCCGTTTAAAAGAGGCTCTTGAAGAAGGGTCTCTTCTCCAACCTTCCTCCCTAAAAAACTTACACAAGAAAGGAAGAAACCAGCAAGAACTGACACAATGTCCGAAACCCAGAACTGCGTCGGCAAGGATGGACTTTTTCTACAGTAAGCAAGGTCTACGATAAGGTTAGAACAAGACATAAGGGAATAGAAAACCCACCAAATTCTGAGTAGGACGGGAAACTTCTGGATAGTTGAGTGAGAAAATTGGAAGTGCAAGTAAGCTGAAATGGCAAGCCAAGTAATTGTTTTGAGAACTAAATCCGATAGGGTCACAAGTTTTTCATCAGACCAACCATTTCTATACCAATAAAAGTAGTTTAAAACAGAGAGAGTAAGATTAAACAGAGATAGGCCGAAACAAGAGAAAAGGGTGAGCTTATAATATAAAAAGTTTCCGTTAATGAACCTTTTCTTTGATTCTTCAGGGATAGTGGTCTTGAGCCTCCTGCAAGCCCAAAACACGAATAAAACAAGTACCAAAACAAGGTGTGATGAAGCAGAAACCAAACCTCGAAAGATGGGTTTGAGAAGAAAATCACTAGCGGAGTGCATTATCAGTGTAGAAGAATGTGAGAAGAAGATAGACATATCGGGCCCTGATTCGTCAAAAACACTCCTGCTAGCAGTTGTTCTTCACTTAGGTTTGTTTTCGAGTCTATTTAGCGAAGAGCCGATTTGTGATTTGTATATATAGAGAGAAGGAAACCAGAGAAAGTTGTGGTAATAGAGTTGATAGACTATGGAGAGAGAGAGAGAGTCAATGACAGCTTGTTTGGCTATAGAATACGTGGTGCGCAAGACTTCAGTTGGAGAGGAGACGGAGAGAGCGAAGGTGGGAGGCCGAGAAAGAGAAAGGATGGTTCATGGTTACTTGGTTAGATGGATTAAAAATTTAAAATAAATAAAGGATGTCATGGCTCTCCCCATCTCCAAGGAATAATTAATTTACCTATATACCAAAAAAACGAATAAAAACACAGGAAAATTGGAGACATATACTGATATACATACAGAAACCGAATCTCCTCAAACCATGGTTCATGGTTACTTGGTTAGATGAGGAGTGATCTGATTGGTATTTTATGAAGTGTCGGACTCTATCAACGACTTTACCGGTTTATGCGGGACCCACGCCTCTGATATTTGTTTGTATTTTGTAATGGTCCCATCTTACATCTTCGAAAGGAAACTCGCAGGCTTATGGTCCATTTATCAAACATCTCGTATGCATTCGCAAACATGTAAAACGACATCATACGATTCTTAATGAGAATGGAGACACAGGTATTACAGAACAAAGGAACAAAAGTAGTGGAGCTACCTTGACTTGGCTGCAAATCTTCTGTAGTGCTTGCATAAATGAGACAAACTTGACGAATAGTTTATGGTTTACCCCAAAAAGAAACAAGCGAGTGGTGGGGTTTATTTGGACTTCTTATGGGAAGGAGTGGAGTTAGGTCCCCTCCTGCCCTCCAATCTCCATCACTGCTCGGGGAAACTCCATTCCTTCCATTGAAAGGTTGTCTACCGCTGTCCGCTGCCGCTGCTGCTCAGAGAAACTCGACGCTATTGGAAGGAGTGGAGGTGCACTGCTCATGGGGTGGGGACAGGGGACAGAGTAGGAGCAGGAAGCAGAGTGCAGATGAGCAGGGAGTGGCGGAGAGACTGTGGGTACATGGATTTGATCCCGCGCCTCTCTAGTGAGTCGTGACCATTGGAATTTGGAAGTAGTGTGTATACACTACAGGGTTAAGAGCCCAAGTTTCGGTACTGCATGACTGTCGTTTTACATTTTAGCCAGTGGAATATTCGCTAGTGATGAATCAGAGAGGTTGTCAATTCAATTGTGATACTTGGATTCATTTCATGATCTATGGCATTGGCTATGGCACCCAATCAGAGCAGTCCTCAACGTGGTTATATTTAACCCGGTTTTTTCTTTTTGCATGATTTTTCAATGTTTTCGAACCGTCCCGGTCAGACCGTTTGGATTGGAAATCATGTAAGCAATTGATTTCGTTTCAATCCGGTTTTTGGTTAAAAGTCGTTGACTCGTTGATCCAAACGATCAAACCATCGACCCATTCCACTTGGATAATAACTTTTGGCCATTTTTATTTTAATTATTATTTATGTATTCTTAAAATTAAAACAGGCTGTGTTCATTGGAACCGGATGATCTGCTAACTGCTGCTGCTCAGCTCGTTGATAAAAGAATTGAGGTGGACAATGAACCTGCAGTATCCCTGCTCAGTCACAAAATTTGTTGCCACCGTGGTCGCAAGATTTGTATGAAAAGGTGCCCCTGTGGCCCTGTTTAAGCTTTATGATGACAAATTAATCATGAAGATCCAAGGTGGTTGTTGGTTGAAGCAAAGACCTAGCATTGAAATTTTTCCTGTTTTGATCGGGATTTTGGGAGAAATGGATTTGGCCATTGGCATCGGCCCTTACCTTACATACTTCTCAGTCATGTATTTGGAACATTTCCTCATGATATTCACAATGCACGGTGAGTTATGCACATGGGGCACTGATCTGAATTGAATTCATTTGCTTTTCATGGTTCATAAACAAAAGCAGAAAAGTGTCGACATTGTGGACTTTTCCATTACTTGATCAGAAAGTTTTGCCTTTTAGACTTTTCTTGATAAGAAAGTTTTGCCTTTTAACCACCCACAGGTCCACTTTGGGTAACTTTGACGACGACGACGACTACGTATGTATGATGTGGACTATGGTATGCTTCCAAGAATAAGATGTAAATGGAGCCATCAATTAGACTTCGGAGCCCAATAATGAATTATTTATGCAGAGTAATGTTTGAGTAGCACATTACTACATTTATTTGATTGAGAAACAGATCGTTCAGCCTTCATTCATTTCTTCTTTGTCCCTCCCTTTTAATACATTTCACACTCATAGTGACACCACCAGCCACGACAAATCACATTGTAGATTAGGTACTGCAGATAGTGATATCTCGCGAGGCATGAGATTTTATATCCCCCAGCCAATCCGGACTCATGGAAACGTTATAATGAAGTCACTGGCGGAGCACGGGAAAATCCTAAATCTATCAATTAAATAAATGAAAATTTCACCAAATTCAGTAATTATCATAAATTATGGTTATTTTAATGAAATTTACTGTTAATTTACAGATTTTTAATTTATAGTTAACGAAAATGTGTTTGTTAATTAACAATGAATTAAAATTAAGGTAAATTTATGTTTAACCCCCTCTTCTATTAATTAAATTACTCAGCCATTGGCTCAGGACCCAATTCACTGCCCAAGCTTGGCAAAAATGAGAGACCGACCATACATGAGCCCTATCAACAAAGAAAATAACCTTTTTCTCGAGTTGGGTGAGCCAATTCAAATGCAACCCAACCATTATTTTATTAATGGGTAACATTATCAACCTTTAATTGGCGTTTAATTTAATGAAAATAAATTTTAAAACTAATAGATTTGTATAATCATCTGAAGTTACTTTTCACGGTCATATAGAAAATTCCAATTTTTTTCAAGAATGGCCATTGATTAATGAGTCATGGCTTTTTTTGTCAAAATTAATTATTATTTATATATTAATTAATTATTAGTTGTAGTTCAATGCCCTACTTTACGCTAATAGCATTGTTCTTTCTTGAACCTTCTGACATTGTTGCATGATTGCATCTACACTACATGATGAAAATGTCAAAGTTACCAAATCATTTGAATGGTAAATAGGCTTTTAAATTAATTATTCCCTATTACATTGACCATAAAGTTCATAAAATTTGTATTGCTTTTTTTTCTATAATTGTAATATATCTTATTGAAATTTATATATATATATATATATATATATATGATAAGATTGAACTTAGTTTGGGCTCCAGCTGGGCTTATCTGAGAAAGCCCGCAGCTGAGCATGTCAGCTTAAAATTTTGTCCAAACCTAATAAAAAACAGACATATGAGACCAACCCGTTAGCCTACCCGGCCAATGAGCAAGTCTATTGCCGCCCAAATTCCACAAACATATCTTTTCTCGACAAAGCTAGTCATCTAACAATATGTTAAAATATTTGATGCCTCGCCTCATTCAAAAACGTGTTTTTGTGCATTAACTCTGATTTATGGCCAATTTAAACCCGAATGTCCTTTCTTCTTCACCCGACATCACATATGGCTCAATCCGAATACATTTAGTTATTGTATTACCGGCTAGATCAATCATAAAATGGTTGGCGCTTGGAGTGGACCACTAAGGGAGATCACAAACCTCTCCACCTGAGTCAGAATACATGAGAACGAGAACTAACCAACAACAAAAACCCCAAGTATGAATGCAAAAACGCAGGCCGAGATGATCCAAGAGTTCTCAAGCAAGAGCTTAAGCAGCGAGCGGCGGGTCTCCAGTCACTCGACCCTCCTTTTATAAAGCACTCCAATGAATGTGATCTTTTCCATCCAACAGTCACAATCACATCTCTTCGGTTTTGCATGCCAACGAGAACCAAGATGATCCCAACCTATCGTTCCTCTCCGAGCTAGATGCTCCCGCAAGCCTTGAATCGTCCGTCACCTTTACTCACGAACAAAAGCACGAGACTCACACCCAAGCAATGAATACATCGAAAGTGATGTAACCAAATCCACCCATGCAATCATATGAGGACACATGGCACGCCCGCAAGGATAGTATCTTCATCATGCAAGCCTTTGGGGCATCATCTTTTCATCCTCAAGTTAATGCAAAGCCTTAATAACAAGCGTTACAATCTCAGCTTTTCATCCTCTAGTTCATTTATGGCTATGGCTGAGTAACACTTAACCATGTGGTCAACACCTTAATACTCTCACTCTTAGTGGCGTCCGACATGCAGAGTTATTACCAAGAGCTCAATACACATACGTACACTAACAGTATGGACTCAGTGTCTCAAATAACACTTTTACACTTTTTAACTCACTTAATTGCTCTTGCATTCCAACCACTTCGGTTTCCTTTAATCTTTTGTTGACTTGACAATCGAATTCTTCACCCCCCTAAGACCACACCCCAAGGCCCTAACGTTTTTTGTACTTGTAGGCAGGACCCTCAGCCTCTCATCACCTCAAGAATTCCAACTTTAACCTTCAAGTTGTCTTTGATAGTAGGATTGTTAATTGGACTGGATCCGGTCAAATCCAATGTGAGTCCATTACAAATGGGCCTGGTCCAATCCAGTCCAATGAATATTTTGAACCGGTCTAGAGACTGTCCAATCTGTTCAAATTCATGTTAATTTAGATTAGTTTCAACTCAAACCTGGTCCATTGACACCTATGTTCTTATCTTCTATCAATGGATCAGATAGTGGCTCAATCCAATATAAATTCAATTATGGACTGATCAGGTCCAATCCAATATTTCATATTGATCCGTTCAGTCCATCCAAATTCAATGTCTTATTAGTCCATTCAATCCATCCAAATAGATTTTGATTTGGACAGAATCCAACCCAAAATCGATCCGTTGACACCCCTAATTGATAGCATCAAAATCCCAAATAAAATAATTTAAAATTAGCATTAATGCTCCTATCGTAATCAATATGACCCGAACATAAATAATCACCGTAGTCGAATCCAATCATAAGACCAATGGCCTTGCCACGAATTATAACTTCACTGTAACAGAAATCCTAACTAGGATTCCGTGACCTTTAATTTTTAAAAACAGACTTTTACATGGGAATGCCATGCTTTAACTACAAAAGAGACGATCAACGCAACTTTTTCAAAACCTATATAAAGATCAAACTAGAAGGCTCTCGACTCCCTACTTTCCCCAATGTATACTATTATAAAAAGTACAAATGAAGGTGTGACTTTTATTGAATACAATATTTGTACTTGTGTATTTAGTATATTTCTAATTATGAAGATTAAAAATATAATTTTAATTAATGCTGTTCATCTTATTTAATCTCCTTTCATTAAGTCTTATATTTAAGGTATTAACTGACATTCTCTCTTATTAAATCATATATTTAAGTTATTTTTTTCACTAATAAATGCTACTAATTAGATCAATGTCTAATACTTTTAAAATGTAAACCCATATATTTTAAAACTTACTCCAAAAATCCTAATGATGACTAAGCAATTCAACCATCCGAATCAAATTGGTCAACCTAAGAAGTCATAGTCAAATAATAAAATCTTTAAACAAAAATAATTATAGAAAATTACAAAAAATATAGAAAAAAATCAACACATTTATGATATTTTTCTTAATCAAATTAAAAAAAATAAGTGTAATAAACAAGAATTATGTTTGTTGATGATGAAAATTAAATATATAATCCAAAACTAACCAAAAATAAAATTATTTTCTTGTTTGCCGTAGATCAAAAATTCAACTTTTTGGCCAAATGTGTCAAACTTTAACGTCATAATTAAATAATAAAAATTAATAAAACATAAAAAAGACAAATGAAAAAATACACAAGTTTTACAAAAAAGCATTTGGGCACATGTATAATATCATATATTTATCATATTAAACAAAAAAAAGTTTATATAACAGAATTATATTTACACATAAAAATAAAAAATTAGAAAAAAAAATATGAACACATCTATACTTGGCAATTGGGTTGGGTGGGTCAGGTTCGAGTTGGGTCAAGTTACTTCGGGTTGATTTCGGGTTGTTTTAATTTTGGGTTGGGTTGTCAAATGCTAGACCCTAACCCTAAATATTCAGGTTAGAGTTGACCCATGGGTCAATTTGGGTCATCCCAAAAAATAATTGGAATTTAAAAAAATAAAGAAAATTTACATGAAAAATGTCAATTAAAAAAAAAAATTAACCTTAAAATTTCAAATATAAAATAAAAAACTTGAACATTTAACAATTTAAAGAGTAAAGAATAAAAAGTAAAGACTAAATAGAAAAAATTAAAGAGTGGAAACTTCTAACAATGCATAAATAATCCCAATTAGACTTAACAATCAAATAAGCAGGTTGACCCATGACCCAACCCAGTTTTTTCGAGTCGGGTCATTTTCGCATTCGGGTAGCTAAATATGAGACCCTAACCCTATTTTTCCGGGTTGGGTTGGATCGGGTTCACGGGTTGGGTCAAATTTTTGCCAAGTCTAAGCACATCTAGTATTCTATATTTACACTAATACTAAAAATGTGAACAAAATTGTAAAACTCTCTTTTGGCTAAAATACACTTTGAATTTAACCCCTATTTAATTATGAGGTTTAAAATGTAATTTGAACTACTGTTTCACTCATTTAATTCCCTCTCTTTAAATCTTACATTTTTTTTGATAAATAAACAAAAAATATATACTAAGAATATAAAACATTATAAACAGAAGAATCTACCAATCATGTAAGCCTATCAATGATACCCAAAAATTTACAACCCAATACGAGGCATTTATGAAATTGGATTTGAATTTTGCAATCTTCTTCAAATTAATAATGTAGATCTATGGATTATCTATCATATCCATAAAGCTATTACAACTTCTTCAATAATTATTTTTTATATTTTTATATTTTTAGCATTAAAAATAATTAATAATTAATTATATTTTATGATTTAATCACAAGGATTAATTATGTTATAGGTCTATGGTTAATCCTATAAAGCAATTGAAATTTCTTCTCAAATAATTATTTTTTTGAATATATTATATAAGATTTATTTATTTTTTATAATTTTTAAAAACAAAAAATAAATCATAATTATTAATTACATTTGCATTTAGAAATTGTGCAAATGCATGTTTTATGATTGGATAAGATAGTTAGGCTCTCCCATCCCTTAAAACTTAAGAATCATAGTTTATAAATTATAATTAAGCATAATTTTTTAATGAAATTATAATTGACTACAAGGTAATTTTTTTCATAAAACCATTAAAATATATTAATTTAATGTACACACACCTAATTAAAGCCTTATATTTAGTGTTATTGATGTATTTTTATAACTTATTGAAGTATTTATAGTGTTTTCATGCATCTATGTGTATCTTAATTTTTCTAGAATACACACGTGTATTTAAAGCATATCCTAATACATCTCTTAAAATTACCTTTCAAATACAGTTGATGTTTCCAAGAGATTGGGAAATTGCTAAATGTATCCATTGTGATTAATGAAAGATTGAATTTTATGATTAAAGATTATAAGAATAGATACGTGATATCCACATCATCAAAAGGAAGCCTTTACTCCCCAGGAATATGACCATCATGGCATCATCTAACACATGTTTCCAAGTAGCCACAAGGAAGAAGAATTAAGTGGAAAACAGGAATTTCAAGGTCCCAACCAAGAAGACTACAAACAATGAACAAATTTGATGTGAATTGAGATCTGCTCCTCACATAGTGCGCCTCACACCAACCTCACAGCCACATCCCACCCTGTATTGGGAACATCTTCCCATGAATAATACATTGAAGGACTGGAGATGTTCTCGATGTGCAGCCAGGACATGCTGTGAGGTCAGTGTGAGGAGCAGATCAGGACTCTTCAGTATCCTCTTGGGTAATTTACACAAAAAAAAATCCACATACTTAGAAGATCTTAACCCTGCGCAATGGTGCTCTGTCAAAGATCATTTTCTAACCATTCAAAATAATGTAAGAAACTAGACAACTGCAATGTTCATCAGGTTGATTTTTTATGAGCCAAATTGATGCAATGAATTATTGGCCTCTATCCAATATATGTATCTATATGTTGCAAATTCTCAACAAGGTCTGCAGCAATAGAGCCCACATCTAATTGATATCAGACATCTATAGATCATTATGAATGATATAGTTTTCAAATACAAAAATATATATTTAGCAGAAAGGAAGCCTTCAACAAAACACAAAAGAATTGGGGGGAAACAGAAATAAGAAATGGCAACTGAACTAAAACCTGATGCCAAGTTTCCCATTCAGAAAAGCCTATGATGCATTGGCTTTCCATTGGTGCATTTGTTCTCATCTGATCTGCGAGCTGCAAGAGCAGCAGTACTCCCCAAACGTGGCCTCTGGCAATATTCAGAACTCTTTGACAGTTTCTCGCCCTGAAACCCTACAGCATTCTCTTCCCAGACCTGTATATCGCTCTCAAAAGTTTCTTCAGGTGGTGAATTGTAGCCCCTCATCTCAAATTCCTTTAAGAGAATAATTTATTTATTAAACATCAGGATTTCCAAATAATAAAAAAAAAACTACAGGGGTTATTGAATCCCCATAACTACAAAATAAAAAACTAGAAACATGACAGACTGAAAAATAAAGAAGATTCCAAAGTTTAGGGGCATGTGTACCTTGGATTTCATCATGGAATAATAAGGTGTCAAGCAAGGATTCAAATCCTTGAGCAACATGTCATCTGGACTACCAGGGGTTATTGAATCCCCAGAACTATATTCCTGTGCAGTCTCTCACAAAATTAGAGACAAAATATACAAATAACTCCAGATGACATTAGAACTTTCAGGCTCAAATTATATTTCCCACGTAGTTAAAAGGAAAAAAAAAAGAAGAAAAAAAAACGATGATTCAATTGTAATAGAAAATAAAGGAACTCCAGAATTAAGCCATAAACACTCTAAGTGTATTATAATGGTGCATGTTTGAACTTTGAATTGTTACTAGTTCACAGTTTTAAGTGCTCAATGCATAATGATATAGCCAGATGATTCAGACTTTTGTCCCATGACAACCTAATCCATCACATTCTATCGGTTGATCATAAAGTAGTATACTAAATTTAGGTATTGATTGTGTTAAATTCATTATCCATTTAGGCCACTTTTTCAACGCAATATATCTTTGTTGAGTTTTGGCTTTGAGCATGAATTCAAAAGCAAGTAAGCATTTATTAACAAGAATGAGTTTCTCCAATCCTCCCATGCAAAAAATAGCTAGCGCATATTCAGCAATATTAGCAGCAATGGTTTAATTAAATGTAAAAGTTTCAGGTATCAGCTTGAATTGCAGCTTGCTTACCAAAGAATTAGCCGCTTGTTGATCATATGATGGCGTTTTTGGAGAGTTGACATGACCTTCAAAACATGCCCTAGCTGCAAATTTATCTGCTTTCACCTGTTTAATGAATGCATATGTTAAAATTTGAAGCCTAAAGGCCCTAAACCAATAAAGGAAACAAAAACGCTGCAGGCCTTTCACAACAATAAAAAATAAGTAAAAAAATGCATTTCTTTGAGGATGGAATCAAATTCACATTTTATAACTTCTGGACACGGTCCAGGTTTGAACATGACAAATTAACAGTGTGTAAGTCCGGGTTTGGGCATAGTAGATTCATGCTAGTAGAGGAGGTTCCCAGATTGTGCTATGCGGAAATATGTACTTCATCTATCATAGTGGTTTCTCATCTACACTCGGTGCTCAATAGCATCAGCTATTTCTGTTGGGAGAAGTCTTTTTACACCTTTGACAAAAGGGAATGAAGTTCTACGAGTGGGGTAAGCAAAAGGAACAGTTTGACAAAGCAAAACTAAGCGTGCATTTCCAAATCATGGTATCCCAGAGTTTTTCCCTCAGGGGCAAGCTACAAGCAATTGATTCTGCCGTGTGTTTGCAAATGAAAACAATCCCATAGAATTAAACAATCAAATATTCCGGTCCTAGTTGGAAAGGTGTCTTGGAAAATAAAAACCTGAAAAACTTTTGAGCTGCAGAATATGATGTTATGATATTTGTGCAATTCGTATCATAAGGATATACCTCCGCAAGATCCTCTGCAAGAATTTGGAGCTGCCCTGTAAGAGAAGTGACTTGTCTTTGGAGAGTTGGGATGAGTTGTTTTGCCTGTTTCAGCTCTGAGCCCTGCTTCTCCAGGAGTTCCTGAAGTTGGGAATTCATAACATCTGGGAATAAAATGGCACTCTTTAAGGACTTTATCTCTTCCCTTTGCTTCAAGCACAAGTCTTTCAACTTTTCAACCTGCGGAAGCGCAGGAACAGACATGAAGTATCAGAGAATCTTCAGTTCTGAAGCTTAACAAATGCATGTTCAAAACTTTCATGAAACCAAAAAAAAAGGCATCTAAACCAGTTTTTGTGATTTTAAGGTCGATAACACTAACAGTATAAACTAATGAATCCAATTCCGATGGTATCTTCTACCAAAAGGAAAAAACAAGGGCAAAACTCAAAATAAAAAAGAGCCTGATAATAACGAGAATCTCTGGGTCTATAATGCTGTAATTTGGGATCACATTGGAAATTCTGGGGTACAGTTGCAGCTAAAAGGAAAAATGATTAAATGCTGTCATTTGTAAATTAAACAAAAAATTGAAAGATAAATCTCATACAGGCATGAAGTTTCTTTCTCATAGGATAAAAGCTCGAAATAAGTGATAAAAAAAAAATAGGAACAGAAATACACAGGAAGAAAATTACCTCTCTATTTTTCTCCTCTAGCATCAATTTGAGCTCCGAGATCTCCATCTCATACTCCTTATTCTGTGTCAGTAGTTCTCTCTCGCTCCTAAGCACCATGGCTAATGTCCTGGTATTTGACTTGACCTCCGTCAATGCCTTTGCCTCAATTCGATGTGTTGCTGAAGAACCTTTCTGGAACAATTTCCTGGGAAGAGCAGAAAAGGTTGAGCCTTTAGCTCCCGTCTTCTTCAGATCCTCCGCAATAAAATCAGCTGGAATAATCAGTTGCGTTTTATTGGATCCCGTCTTGGGCATTGATCTCTTCTCCATGAACTTCTTTACCATAGCACTCAAGTTCTGCTCGTTCTTGACCTTAGGCAGAGCTAGATCAGAACACTTTGTCTTAGAAAGAATGCGAGAGGAATTTTCCGCCATGGAAACGGGATCGGGCGATCCACGTCGGTTGCCTGAGCCGGCGATTAGGCGTTTGAGAGCAGAACGATTCTTGCTGGGGTTCTTGAGCTCGGACGACGAGGAGGGATCAGAGACTTGAGAAGACGCTGAAGATCGAGAATCCAATGAGGGATAACGAGAGGAGTGCTTGATAGAGGCCATGTTCGAGAATGAGGAACAGAGAGTAGTAAGGGGGTTTCAAAACGAGGGTTCAGATTTGAGAGAGATCATAGATTTGGAAGAAGAGCAGAATACGAAGTTATGAATGAAATGGAAAAGATTTAGAGGATTAGGATAGGAAGAGGCTGAGGGTCTCCGTGAGTCCCGTTAACAGCCCTCAAGAGGAGGCTCAGGTGATGCCTATGAGCCATAAAGACTTGGCAGAGAAGAACTCATTGCAGCTGTCTCTTCTGTTGGCGCCGTCTCCATTCAAATTTTCGCATTAAGCGCCCGACTAGCGTTGTCTTTTCGTTTCCCTTATTGGCCTTACATTCCGCATTTGAATACAGATCGCCAGTTATACAAATCCATCCTTCAGCACACATCTAGAATCTTTGCCCATTTCACATAATCACATTGTTCCAGATATAGGCAGTAAGATGGATTTGTACGTACCCCACTAGCCAGTAGCCACTACCCTACCCGGGGTAAATAATTAAAAATTATTTTATAGTTAATCTAATTAATCATTCAATATATAAAATTAGTTAAATAATAATCTTTTTAAATAATTAAAAATAAAAGTAAATATTAATAAAATAAACCTTAAAATACTAATTCTTAATTAATAATTAATTAGATGATTATAAAATTATTTTAGTTATAGTAAAATATAAAATAATACAAATGTTACTAATTAATTAATAATTATTATTAGGGTGATTTTCTCACTATTTTCCCTCTTGCAACCAAACAATGAAACATAAAAAATTTTCACCCCATTTTTTCTTTCCCATCTTTTTCTGTTTCCCACCATATTTTCCCGTTATCGTTCACTAGTCCCTACTATCATATTATTTCTGGCGCTGGCACAGGCATTATTATATGGATGATATACAGGAGCAAGACATTCCAGGAGACAACAAGACGCTCCCACTGAACAAACATCACGGTACAATCATGGTTATTCTTCATTATTAACCTGATGGGATCAAATTCGATTGTGTATTGATTGTATTATTCAATTCCGATCTAAATCTGAAAGATCTGAATTCAATTTGGTGTATGAAACATACTTCCCTTGCAGGTGGTTTTTGCTTATTTTGGTTTAGTTCATTGAGAAGATTCAAAATTTAATTACCACAGGATTTTAAGCAAATGGTAATGGGTGATGTTGCCTAGGGATAGTAAATAATAAATAGGTAGGTTCTACTTAAAATCTAATGGAACCGACCCTGGATTGGCCTTGAACCAATTCTATATATCCACAGGCTTTGATCAATTTATTACTGACTCGTGGATTTTGGTTTCATAAAAGACTAAAGTCTAAGAGTAAGTAAGAATATTTGCCATAATGATGCAAACTGGTTGAGCTGTTTAATTCGGACAATTGAACCACTGACCCAAAAACTGGTGGTCACGATGGTTCCATTTTCGGGTCAATTTATAAAACCTTGGTTGGCTCCAATGATCCATCAACATATAGCTTCACCTCGAATTGTATAGACAAATCTTGTTGAGGAACCTTTATTAACTATTGGGAATTGAGGTTATTGTATTATCTTCCAGGGGTTTGCTTTCTCTCCATGAAAAAACTTTCCTATTCCTTATATCCCATATGGCACATAAGATAGAAGCAAGCATGAACGTGTAGTGATAATACTATAGCCCATCACAACAATTGTGTTCTCTCCACCACTCTAAAATGTTAAAGAGATCAATGCCCCCCAAAGAGCTTGGGGTTTACCCTGATTTGAGCTTATAACCAAACTACTCTTGTTAGAGAGCAATCTAGAAAGAGATGATATGGGTTTCTGGTGAACCATTGCAAAAGGAACAACTTATGTCAATTGACTGCCTTAGGTGCCACATGTTTGTCTTACGCTTTATTTTCTTTCTTCATGAACTTCATATGAAGAGTTGGCATCGAAAATGGGCATTTAGGGTCTATTTGGTTCAAAGTCAAAATCAAAATTGGAACTGGAATTGGAATCAGAATGGTCTATTCCCATAATCTATTTGGTTTAGACAAGAATGGTAATGAAAATTAGAATCAACATGAATAGGATATCATTCCCAATGGAGGGGGAAGGGATGGCCATTCTCTCAAATGGGGGAATGCCATTCCACTATGAATGGGAATGGAAACCCGATTCCGCCCAACCAAAAAATTGGAGCCATTCTGATTCCGATTCCAAACCCCTAATCCCACGAACCAAATGAGACCTTAAATTTCCAAATTCTTAACCATTTGATGGTGTGGTTTCCCATTTCATTTTGTTAGATCAAGAGCTAGTATGCTGATTTTATTGAAAAAGTGTCATTTTGAATCTCTTTCCACAAGAGATTGTTTTCTTTATGGCGTAGGATTGGCATGTTGTTGATTGCCGCAACACTCTCGACCTTAGAAGTACTATTTTAGCTTGTCAATATCCCATGACTGATTTGGTTTGAGGAAATTTTCTATCGTCCTTTTGTTTGATGGGAATGTCATTTGATGCTTTAGCCCGAGTTTATGATTGATCAACCATGGGATCCAAGGGCCTTCTGGAATGTCTATTTCCTTCTCATTCCCAAGGGTCTAACAAAAAATTTTTATTAACACTTCTTTTAGCTTTAGAGTTGCTTTCCACCATGGTGAGTGACTTGGGACTGCCTTTCTTTGGAAAAAAGCTTTTATTATTCCCCAAGTATTTATCTTTTATATGTTGAACCCACATGTTGTTGCTACGGGTGAGAAGCCTCCACATTTGCTTCACAAAAAGAGATTTATTTACTTCTCTTGTGCATCTAAAATCGAGACCTCCCAAGTGTTTTGGTTTGCAAATGCTCTCCCAACTAATGATGTGATTTCCTTTCCCACTATTTCCACCAGAAATTCTTTTGTAATTTCTCCATTTATTTGTGTATTTTATTTGATAGAGTGTCCATCATAAATGCAGTATTGGGGAATGACTTGAGCTATCTTCTAGCTTATGAGAGGGCCCGGGCCTGCCCAGCCTTTCATTCTTTTTTTTTTCTATTTTTTCAACCATCTCTTTATGACCTTCTAGCTTGTGAGAGGGCTCATGCCTGATCGCAAACACTTGTCATTTAGGCTCATAGCATTTATTTTGAGATACTTGCTAACAAGTCTCTGATGCAGTCTAGGGGTGATTTTGCTAAAGGGGATACTTGGTTTGCTATAATTTATTTTCTAACCCGGACATCCCTTCAAAAGTCGATATGAGTCTCTTCAAACTTTGAAGATGGTTCAAACCAGCCTTGCTAAAGACAATACAATCTTCTACAAAAAGTAGATGAGTTAGCATTTTCCCATTCATTAATACTTCGATCTCTTGAATTTAATTTCTCTCCATAACTTTTAGAAGCATGGTTGGAAAAACATTCATTCCTATGATAAAGAGATATGGTGAGAGCGGGTCTCTTTGTTGGAGTCCTCGATGGGACTGAAAATGTTCTTCTACTTCTCCATTCAATTTGACGAAGATCGTATGTGTTGAAATGCATTGTTCAATTAGGTTGCACCATTTGGTTGGGAAATTCATTCTATTCAACACAACCAAGATATAACTGCAACTCATTCTATCAAAAGTTTTTTCCATATCAAGTTTAATGGCTACCCACTTTTTCTTCATTTTTTTCTTGCTCATATGGTGAAAAAACTTGTACTTTAAAGAGGATGTTGTCAATTATGTACCTTCCACAAATCCTGCTTGGTTGGGTAGAATTATTTTGGGTATGAAGGGTTTTGCTCACAAGGGCCTTTGCTATTATTTTGTAGAAAACAATGCAAAGGATAATGGGCCTAAAATGCTATTTTTTTAGCTTGGTTTTTGGTATAAATGTGAGAAGTTTTTCGCTCCTGAGAAAGCTTTTTTCACTAGCTTGCAAACATCATTGTCTACCACATTCCAATATTTTTGGTAAAAGTAGGATACGAAGCCATCAAAGCCTGGTGCCTTATGGGGTGCCATGGAGCTGACTGCTACTATAATATCTTCATTATTGGGAACACCAATGAGAGTTAAACCCTTTTCTTCTGAGATTGTTGGTAGTTCTATGTCTTCAAGAAGACAATGGCTCCTGTTCTCTTCTCTTTCACTACTCTCCAAGAAATGATTTTTTAGAGCTTTTATTTTTTTTCTTCTCCATTATTCGATTCCCCTCCTCATTTTTCAACCACTTTATATGTGCCCATCATCTCCTACTTTTTGTTTGGGGATGAAAAAACTTGGTGTTTTTTATCTCTTTCCTTTAACCACAACTTTATGGATTTTAACCTCTAGAGTTGTTCTTCCCTATGCAACCATTTTTCATGTTGACTCTCTAGGGGTGTTCTTTTTTCGGATTTTGAGATGGGGGAAAGTTGGTCAATGGGATTTTGGTTCCCATTGACCAAGAATCCCATGTTCATTTTTTAGATTTGTGGGACCAGGGAAAGTTTATTTTCCGGGTAAGTGATACCCATCTCCAAGGTGGGTAAATAACTTGCTCACTTAGGGGGAAAGTTGCAGACACTTGAATGGGACAAAAATGTCATTTTTAATAATGGATTTTTTGTGGCTAAAATGGCCATTGCCTTTAACCACAAATTTATGGATTTTAACCTCCAGAGTTGTTCTTCCCTATGCAACCATTTTTCATGTTGACTCTCTAGGGGTGTTTTTTTTTCAGATTTTGAGATGGGGGAAAGTTGGTCAATGGGATTTCGATTCCCATTGACCAAGAAACCCATGTTCATTTTTTAGATTTGTGGGACCAGGAAAAGTTTATTTTCTGGGTAAGTGGTACCCATCTCCAAGGTGGGTAAATAACTTGCTCACTTAGGGGGAAAGTTGCAGACACTTGAATGGGACAAAAATGTCATTTTTAATAATTGATCTTTTGTGGATAAAATGGCCATCGCCTTATTTACATGAGAAATAAAATATCCAAATAAATGTTTCCAAGGAAAAACTTACCCAGGTAACTACATTTACCCAGGTAAATAACTTACCAAAAAGCGAACAGGGCCTCTAAGTCTTCTATTTCCTCATGATCTCTTAGGTTTGTGGTTCCACTTGTAGTTCATTGTTGGCTTCCTCAATATCAACTATGTTCTTGTAATTTGTTTTATTCCAAGCTCTCAACTTGGATTTGAGGTTTTTGAGCATTGTTATTGTTCGAAAGGCAAATAAACCTTGCAACTCAAGACCCAGGAATTTTTAATTATTTTGGCACATTCCTCATGCTTTGACCAAAAGGGAAGGAAATGGAATTGTTTTGGGGTTGGTTTCCAAGAGCAGGGGATTGTGAT